CGGTGTTGCTCCCGCGCCTTGCTCAGCCAGTGAGCGGGAACCGGTCTGTATGTGGGATCCGAACCCTCGGGCGGGAGCGCCGCCGCGCTTCCCAAGCGGCGCACTATCCAGTGCACCACTGGGCCAGCCCACCTGTCCACTTTTTTATCCGTTACTCCCAACATCTCTCCTACCCCCAGCCCTGGATTATTAGCACCTAAAATTGATGAATAATCTGCTAAATAAAGAGGAAAAAAAAATAAGTTCACCGAAGCTCCTCTTTGGTCTAAGTCAACTAGCTCATAGGAGGTAACCACTCAGCAAATTCCGCTAGCAATTTCAGCCCTAAATATTTCAGTAGGTATCTTTAAAAAAATAAATTAAATAAAAAAGCACAATATCCTTTCACTCCCAAATAAACGAGCCACAATTTCTTAATAGCAGCAGTGTCCAGATTCTTCCAGAGGTCTCATACTTACCAACAAAGTCACAGACACCTGTTCCCGGCACAGCCATCCAGCTGGCGGATCAAACACGTGGCTACTCCCTTCTGTATTATCTCTTCCTACTTCCTTCCTCCTCTCTATCCACCCACAACAGATGCCCAACACTTGGGAAAGCCTGCCTGGTACCCACTTCCAAAGCTCTGCATTGGGAAATCACACCAAGCCAGTGTGATGGGGCCACTTACGTTTAGTGGCTTCCAGGGTATGGATTTAGAAGCACATGGATAGTCCTCCAGCCCTGTCCCCAAATACCCTCCTCTCATATATTTCCAATAAGCCCAATATTCCACAATTCTCGAGTCATTCATTTGTTTCCTATTAAAAAGCCAGAGTCATCGGGAAAAGTTGGGCCCTGACTGTAGCAGTCATTTACACCTTAGTATGAATAAGGCCTCATGAGTCTATTCTGGTCTGGGGGCACATGCTAGAGAAATCCTGAAGGAAGCAGGTGTCTAACCATCTCTCCTCTGCTTCTTCCTTGCAGGCTACAAGGAGCAGGGCATCCCACAGCAGCTGTGAGCCCTCGGGAGCCTCCAGGGAAGTCCAGGGGGGGCCCTGTGAGGTCTGCACCAGGCAGCTTCGGGCACAAGGACCTTTACATGTTCTCTTCTGCCGTTTCCCAGATTTGGGGTGGAAAGGGGATATTTTTAAAAATATTATTTATTTTGAAAACGCATCTGCTTTTCTCAGCAGGCTCTGAGGGCTGCCAGCCCCGCCTCCTGTTACAGAAAGCACTGTAGGCACAGGCACCTGGCGCAGCGGGGAGTGGGGTACAGATGGAGATGCTGATGGGGAGGCTGGGGCGCTCCTGCATGGTGGTTCCCACCTTGCAGTGCCCGCTGCCCACTGTAAGGGCACACCGGAGCCACCTGGCTGGGCCACAGTGGGCCCCACCTGGGTGAGCAGGGGCTCGCCAAGGGAGCAGGACCGTGGTGGGCACTTCCTCTGGGTCCCCACCCCCTGCCTCAAAAATCTAGTGCCCCAAGTGTTTACTCTGTGGCCTTCCGGGGATGCATCAGGGTGGGGGTGAGGGTGGCCAGACTCTAGCCCAGCGTGGAAAGGCCATTGTGTCCCCAGCTGGGCCGAGGCCTCTGGGGCAAGAAAGGTGCCCAAAGGCGTCTCCCAGGCCTGCCCTCCCTGACTGTAACCCCCTCCACTTCCTTGACACTGGCACGCACTGGCAGACTTTCACCTCATTCTGTTCCATACTCCTTTTTCTTAAATCCTTGGGGCCAGACGTGTCACTAAACTCAGAAACTTTAGATTTGAGAAAGATAATTTGATCTATTTATTGCATATCTCCTAACACACCAGCTCCCTTCCCACCACCCCCGACAGATTCTGGAACATCCCACCCCACATCAAGCACGTGAATATTTCTGCAGAGAAACATGTGAATAGTCAGGTTAATGGGGATCAATAAAAAATGTAAATAGCCTCACATCAGTTTGGGTCAGGTTTTGCCCCTAAGTAAGTTATGGGGAAAAGCTTACCATCTGAGAACTTTTGGGGTTTCAGAATTGCAAAACAGTTCTATGGGGTTGTGGACATCAATCCCCAAATCCCACGTGCAAACAGATGCATTAGAGGGTGAGACTGTCAGCGTGACACGGGGATTCCTCCAGCTGCAGAGGGACCACCGTGCCCCTTGAAGGAACCCCTCTGTTAGTGGTTGTCACAGAGTCGGGTTCCTAAAGGAGGGACAGCCCCACGGAAGCTGATCAAGTATCAATCTGAAATCAGAAGAAAGGAGATCCGAATTCATACTGATGAGATGGACACGTACAGTCTGTTTTCTTTTCTTCTTTTAGTTTTCATTCTAACCTAGGAGGCACTAACATGGGGGTCTGGCCTGAGGCAAGTTTCCGACCCCACTGGGCCTTGTGCCATCGGGTGGGTGCCTCTTTGAGGGGCTTTTCTTGCCTATCAGAGACGCTGTCAGAACTCAGCCAGGCTGGGGAAGGGACCTGTCTGGCCACTTTCTCCACTGCTGGACAGGAGCACTTGGACACTGGAGGTCCCCACCCATCCGCCCCATTCCCTGGGCTTTCTAATTACAGTCCTGCCAGCCTCGGGCTCCCTGACATCCATGGAGAGACAGGATCCCTGCAGCCAATCGCCCGCCCCTGGATCCCACCTTGGGGGGTCCTCTGCTCCTGGCCTGGCCCACCCCACAGCCTACCCTACCCCTTAGCCGTCCATTGCTGCCTGGGTCTGGGCTACACGTTTTGAACATGTGGCAGTGTCTTTATCTCTTCCCGTCCTCTCTTCCTCCTGACCCCAACCCAGGCCTTTGCTTCCTCTTTCTTGTTTGGGAGGCTCTGTGTCTTCAAGGCATGAGATCAGGTTTGATTTTATCTAAAAAGCCAGAGACATTCTCAGTGTGGAGATGGTGTTCCCCAGGCTGGCTGCTCTCGAGGAAGCAGAAGAGAGAAGCCACCCCTGTCATCAGAGCAAATAGCTTCAGCTGGGGGAAATGACGGGTCTCAGCCACCCCCTCCCACGGCCCCCAGCCCCCAGCCCTTCACCCCAAGCAGCCCCCGAGTGTGGCTGCCTCTCCCCGAGGGGTGACAGGTCCCAGGAGGGGCTGCCCCCACAGTGAGAGAGAATCTTATTTTCCTGCTTGGGCCGGGGGTGGTGCTGAGGGGGTAGAGAAGAGATAGCAATTTATGCTGCATGTTTAGTGACACAATCCAGACGCGGGTGGGATTTCCTGAGTGGCAGGTGTCACCGTGAGTCCCGTGTGGGATGGCTTCCTACAGGGGTTGGTTTTCTTAGAAGGCCACCTCGCCCCCATCCTCCCCTCACCCGAGGGCCACGTCTCAGAACTGGAGAACACATCAGCCTCAGCAGGAAGCCTCTTTCCAGGTAACTGATGTGTGGGAGAAGCCAAGAGCCACCTCCCTCCAGCAGGACCAGTTCAGAATAGCGTCCCTCTAAATGAGACCAAGGCCTCAGCTGCAGCATCTTTGTCACACAAGGGACAGTGGCTAGTTTACTCCAAGTAGCCCGAGCTGGCCACTCAGACTGCTCGATGGTCAGAGTTAGCGCATTCAGTGCTGGCCAGATGAAAATTGGGGTTCTGGGGACAGCAAGGGCTTAGCTGACACGCAGCCCTTTTGTGACAAAGCTGGGCTTTGCCTCGATGGCGCAGCAAAAGGCAGATGGTCCAGAGCTGCAGGGAGCTTTTCAAGTCTGGGCCTTTTATCCGTCAGAACGCTGTGGGATGGTCCCCGGCTGTGGGTGTTTGGGGCAGGAATCACGGGCGTGCAGACCTCATCACAGTGGATAACGAGACACTCCGGGTGCCTCACTGTGACGCTGTGATCTGAATGGCCATCCCCTCGGGCCAGGGCAGGACCCTGGAGCAAGAGTGAGCCCCCTGGAGGCCTGGGCATTTCCTGTGGGTGGGGGATGCTATTTGTTGACCTGATCTTTATCTGATCGGTGTTAGAAGTGAGGACTTCAGGCCAGGAGGGCTGGGTCCCTGTGCAAGCAGCAGGTGGCAGGTGGCTCCCAGCTCCTCCCCCAGTCCCAGCCCACCCTTGGAGCAAATCTCTGGCTGGCCTTGAAAAGAGGTCAAGGAAGGGACATGCAAGATGGCTCCCTCCCTCTATTGCCCCAAACCCACACGTCCAGCACAGCAACCAGAACAGCTTCCATAGGTAGGGCCCTTGCAGAGCGTTTTGTCTCCTCTTACCCTTGCCAACAGCCTGGCAGGGGAGATCCCTATGCTGAGTTTTCAGATGTCAGAAATGAGGCTCCAAGAGAGTGAGCCACCTGCTCCCGAACTCACGGCTCAGGGCCTCCAAGGCCTGTGCTGAGCACCTGTTACAGTTCTGCCCAGAAGGAGGGGTGTCCTCCGGAAGGGTTTTGCCCACTCAGAAGTGATAGGGTGAGACAGAAAACCTGGGAAAGAACTGGAAGGCCTCTGCCCTGCCCGTGACACTCTCCATTCTCACCTCCCTGGGCAGCCCTCAAACCCACACTCCCCCATTGCAGGCAGCCCAGGAGGGGTGCCCGTTCCTGAGGGTGGTAGAGGATGGTGGCTAGACATAGAGCTGGAATGAGGAGCTGCCTGGTCCTAACACGCAGGACCCAGTCCCCCAGTCCCCCAGCCCAGGGGATCCAGCCACTGCAACTCGAAATGTCTCAGAGGTGTGGGGTGAATTCAGCCTTACGCAGAGGGCCCGGGAGTGGGGGAGAGAACGCCTGCAAAAATCAAACGCAGAAAGAAAAAAGCCACGGGGGTAACATGTCCCCTGGAGAGAAAAGGGGCCCAGATTGCAGAAATAAAAAGGGGCCCAGACCCCAAACTCCAAGCCGAAGACCAGCACCAGGTGGGGATGAAACCCCAGGACAGAGGCCTCTGAGGCCTGAGGGGCTCAGCAAGAAAGTGAGCCAAGATGACAGCTTGGCTCTTTAAAACACAAACAAGATGGAACAGAACCAGAAAGGCTTTCTTTAGCTAACCCCCTCCCTGCCCAGACGGTGGTGGGTTTGCCGGGGTCTGCTTCAGTTTTGCCTGGATCCCCCCCCTCCCCAGGGCCACACCCTGGCTCCCAGGCCCAGCTCGGGCTGTAACTTACACGGGCTGTTTCCTTATTCTGTTCATGACGTTGGCACAGAAAGTCTAGAGCCTTGTGTGGACGGCTGAGGATGTATAATTGAAATGTAGATTCTCCGGTTAGCGGTGGAAGGCATGTTTACTGTGAACATTACTTCCTCTCACTGGGTTTGTTTGGAGGGCTTTCATCAGAGGGACTGGAGGTGGGAGAGGACTTTTAAAGCACCCCGCGCCTGGAGCCCATGACCTTGTACGTGGTTGGGGGCCTCAGGCTCTTGGTGGAAGGCATGTTTACTGTGAACATTACTTCCTCTCGCTGGGTTTGTTTGGAGGGCTTTCATCAGAGGGACTGGAGGTGGGAGAGGGCTTTTAAAGCACCCCGCGCCTGGAGCCCATGACCTTGTACGTGGTTGGGGGCCTCAGGCTCTGGGTGCGGTTTGAAGTTCTTTCTGCCCATCTACTGACCCCCAGGACAGAAGCTGGGCCTGAGGCTGATAAGACACAGGATTTCCTCTCTGGAGGGTTGGTGGGAGCCATCTGATGGCCTCTCACCCGTGGGACAGTGACTTGCTTTGTTTATTCATTCAGCAAGCACTCAGCGAGTGCCAGGGGCGGGTGGGCCATGCTGGGTGCTGGGTGCTGGGTGGGCCATGCTAGGTGCTGGGTGGGAGACGCCCTCGGCTCCCCACCCTGCCATTCCCCAGGCTCCACAGGAAGACAGCAAGGTGGGCAAAGGCAGGTGTGGGGGCTCCCGTTCGTCAAGCACCCGGCTGCGCCTCCCTCCAAAGAACCCTGTGCATGGGTGCAGGGAACTGCAAGGCCAGCTGGGTCAGGGGGAGTGACCATGACCCTTCTGGACCAGCTTGGATCTTTAAAATAATAATAACAGTAATGAAAAGGTCAGCCCAAGCAGGCGGGTGAGAAGCTCAGGGTCCTGAAGTTTTCACCAGTTTTCTCCCCATTAGATTCTTACAGCTTCCGAATGTTTGCAGGGTCGCGGAGGTGTGGAAGTGCTTGTGCTCAGAGGATCATGGACCCACCCTCCATCCTACACCGTGCAGAGATAGGATGTCTCTCAGCCACAGTGACCCTACATGATCCCCATGCCCCAGGAGTGAGCTCCAGCCTCAGTGCTGTTCTGATGGCCTCGTGCCTCAGTTTAACCACATATAGTTTGGGAACAAGGAGGGGCCTGGGCAGCTGTCATGTTCCCCATTCGTGGCAGCCCTGGAGCCAAGCCTCCTTCTAGCAAAACAGAAGCCATGGCCCCAGTGCCACTCTCCCCCCTGCCCCATGCTATCCCAGAGGGCAGAAGGGTAGACAGAGGGGCCCACTCGCATGTCCTGAGTTTCCGGCACAAGTCCTCTTTCTATTTGGATTTAGCTGGGGACCTCATTCCCCAGCCCCTCTCTTTCTCTGCCTGGATTTTCCAAAATGCCAATCACCCAGGTCTGGAGCCCACTGTCCACCCCTCACCGCATTTCCCCCCTAAAGTGGGAAGAGGCGCACACACGTGCACACACACACTCACACAGTCCAGATGCACACACCGTTTCCCTTCTCTCCAGGGCCACAGGCCTGTGTTCCCCAGCCCCTCTCTTTCTCTGCCTGGATTTTCCAAAATGCCAATCACCCAGGTCTGGAGCCCACGGTGCACCCCTCACCGCATTTCCCCCCTAAAGTGGGAAGAGGCGCACACACGTGCACACACACACTCACACACTCACACAGTCCAGATGCACACACCGTTTCCCTTCTCTCCAGGGCCACAGGCCTGTGGATCTCTTCCTCCCAGGGTCCATGGGCTCAGCAGCCCCCACCCCACCAAACCCAGCTGTGCTCATCCCCAACGTCCATACCTGGGACTTCTGTGG